TGTGGAGTGCTCAGTGCAGAGCTGAGGGTGCTCTTGGGGCGTACAGCCTGTGGGGAGGAGGCATCCCCAGCACGAGGCCTGCAAGTCTCTCATTCCCTCACTCTCGTTTTGTCTCTGCCCCCGACTTCCCTGCCCGGAGCTGTTTCTCCTTCACCATCATGTCTCGGAACCTGCCAACTGCGGACTGAAACCTCTACAAACTGTGGGCCAAGATAAACCCTCCCCCCTTAGAGTTGAGATATTAGGTCCCAGAAATGGAAAGTCACTTAGAAAAAGTAGATATCAGTATGGAAAAAGCATTAATCTTAACATACACATTATTCTATACATAAAATTTGACTTAAAAGGGATACTGACAAAGGCTAACACAATAAAGCTCTTAGAAGAAAATATTGCAGAAAATATATAGACCCTTGAAGTGAGCAAAGGCCCTGCTGATGGAAGCCAACATCACAAGTCAAAAAAGAAGCTACTGCACTTCAAAAATGTGAAAATTGCTCCTGTCTAACCAATTGATAGACAAAGCCACAAAGCATGGAAAATAGTCCCAAAACCATCAAAGGAATAATCTTGAAAATATGTAGTGTTCCTGTAGTACATAGTACTAGGAATAGTAATAGGAAGAACAGTAATAGTAACAGAACAAAGAGCCTAGTAAACTTAGCAAAATATTTCACAAGATCCTTAAAAAAAAGAAGACACACAGATACAAAATTGACAAATTAAATGATACTCGATATCATAAGCCACCAGAGAAATGTAAACTAAAGCCCCACTGACACAGCACCACATACACCCTGAAAAGCTGAAATCAAAGTAAACTCCCAGGTTGGGTAGGGTGTAGCGTAGGGTTCACCAGACTTTATTTAACGGGAGACATGAGAGACAGCTAAAGCTCTGAGGATCCTAATGTTTTTGTAACTATTACTCAATTTGGCTTTCTAGCATGAAACCAGTCCACTCATGGACAAAGGAGTATGACTGTGTCTGATACAATCATATTGATAAGTTATGTAATGTTTGGGTCAGAAATGCTATTTGCAGACCTCTGATGAAGAGGGAAAGAAATTCATGGACCTCTCGGGCGACTATGAAGAGGGACAACCACTGTAGAAAACTGTTCTTTTTGGCAGAATCGGGGATAGAACTCAGGCCTTTGTGCTTGCCAGGGAAGCACTTACCCCACTGAGCCATCTCCTCGGCCCGGAAAACAGTTCATTATTTCATAAAATTTACACCTGCCATGTGATGCTAATAGTCCAAACATACCTATTTCTCTAAGAGGAAGGAAAACATGTACCTAAACAAAGACATACGAAGTGCTCATTGAAAATTAATTCAAAAATCTCAGAAGATGGGAACAAACTTTCCCAACAAGTAAACAAATTAAAAAATTATGTTTAATTAATACCACTTAGCAATAAAAATGAAGCACTCATGTAAACGCATATATAAATAAATCTCTAAATAATTGTGCTGTATGACACACGTACACGAGAATACATGCTCACAGTCACCCAAGTCAGAAGATAATTTGTAGCCTCAAACAGGGATAGAGATGTGGGGAATCCTGCCTGGGTGAAGAAATGTCACATGTCCTGCCTGCAAAGGGGGTTTCTTGTGTAGATATCTCTGTCATATTTCATCGACTTAAGCCCTTCAAAGAAGACCAGTATATTTTATTTAAATTATTCTTCAATGATGTTAATAAGGACAAAGAAATGTACCAGCTTTGGTCAGTGATGGCTGCTGACACCTGAGTGAGTTGTGTGTGGAAGCATTTGCCTTTCGTACTCATCTCTGCAGATATGCAGGCAGCGATGATGTCTCACCCTGCCAACGGGCTGGCTCTGGGGCAGTACATTACACGTTTCTATTTTATTATCTAGTTTTTCTTGGTCAAGCAGTTTCACTCATAGAAAACTGTTCTCGGTTGGCAAGAGTGATACATTCATTTTGTTCACATAAATATAAATTTCTGCTGCTGACAATACAGGATTAAGAGTGGACAAAATAGAAACTGTCAGCAGATTTCTGAGGCAAGTAAGGAAGAAAGTTCAGTAAAACCGATCTCCCAGAAACAAGATTTCACAACATAAAGGAAGAGCTCTGAAATTAGAGCAGCAGGTGAAAAGTCCCCTCAGGTCTCACTGTTCTTTTCTGAATGTAACAGTGGGGAAGGCGATCTCCAAGCCCTGTCAACCTGTACAATTCCATGGACCCAAAGACATCGAACAGACAGTATCAAAGACCGAGAGAAATAAAAGAACACTCTGAGAAAAGGAGAAGTTATTATTGAACAAAGGAATATCTGCAGCCAGCTCCGAGGCTGGACTGCTGCCAACAGGCGGACAATGAAATGAAGGTGCTTGGTCTGATGACAAGTCATCCTTGCCCCACCGTCCTGAGGTCTGGAGAAGGCGAACTGCAGGAGCTACTATGATAGCTTCCAGATTCCCTCAGGAGCAAGGTCAGTCCTCTAAGTCCTCTTTGCCACCCCATGGCCGCAATATGAGTCAAAGGGTAGAGGCCAGAGGTCACCAGCTAACCAGCCCTTCAGGGGCCACGTGACTGAAGCTCGACATGAACTCAGCCCCAGCACCATTTTCCTCCTTAGTAAGCCTGAGCAATCTCTTTCTCTTTATCCTTAAAATTCTAGGGAATTTTTGTGTAAGAAAAGTATTTTGGTTCCTTCAAAATTTTGGAAGTGATTACAATACAGATCAAAATATAAGTATGCCATAAAAACATTAAAAATCAAAATGAGACATCAACTAATGAAGGATGTGGGTTGTTGAGTCCAAAGATTCTTCTTGGAAAAATGTTAAAATAGTCTTAAATACTGGCATCCTTTAGGGAAGTTTGAATGATTTAAATGGTTTTGAAACAATAATTTTTGTTTCAACTCAATTCATCAGCATCATTGCTTCAATAATAATTTGCCTCACTTCTTAATTTGGAAATCTTGCTGATAACGACAGGTTTCATTCACTACCTTCCACTTTTTAAACAAATGCTTGCAAGCTTTACCTACAAATTATTGGTAAGGCATTTCCATGCATTTAATCTAGAATTTTTTAGAATCAAATATATATGGATTTGTGTTTGAGAAATAGCCATTAATGATACAGGGATTTTCAGATTCTTTTTCAGGAGAAAAAAATCACAGATCTTGCTACATTGGCATTCATTACACAAGATATTCAACAACAGAATAAGCGAAGCAAACAAAACATATTTTTCATCTTAAATAAATATAAAAATGTCAGAATTCGTTGCATGTACCACAATTCTCCTTTAGATTACTTTAAAAAAATCAGACCACAGCCCATCACCTGCTTCCCCCACCCACAGCCCCTGGAGTCCACCATTCCATCCTACACTTCCATGACATGGACCGACACTCGTGCACTGACTGAGATCAGCCAGCATCTGCTTTTTGAGTCTGTGATGGCCTAGCCAGGGTCTCCAGATGCACCTGTGTCATTCCACGTGGTGACACTACAGAATTTTCTTATGGCTGAATAGTGTTGTGTAAGTTCAAGAAGTCTGTTATGCACTAAAGTGGCTTCAGCTGGTGGCAGTACTGGGCATTTTTGAAAATGCTAAGAGAAGTGATACTAAGTGACCCCATCACAGGACGGTAATCATGACAGGGCTTGTAGGTCATGCTGACAGCAGCCAGAGTAAGCGCTGCGTAGTATTGCAGAACTTGTGCTCTGCTCTGTGAAGTATTTACTGTCCTACAAATATTAGAAAAGGAACTATGGATGCATAAAAAGTAATAATCCATAATGACTTAAAATCAAATTTAACAATTATAATATACATCTTGGAGCAATTGATTTTCACTTTAGTTGCTAAATTCTTTGGATGTGTAATTGATGTTTCCATCAATTAATTTTAAGAAGGTTTCATTAAAATTTTTTAAAGTTTCTTGACACTAATGTGAGAACTGTAGAAGATAAGTCATTTGTTGATGCTACAAAGGAAAAAGTTCAATTCAATCAAAAGAACTCAATAAACTGAAGAACACTAACAATAACAAAAATCAAAATAACATCGATAAATGAATTTATTCTACTCTGTGATTTATGTAGGAAATATGAACTATATTAAATTCAGGTTTCCTAGCGATTCCATGCACTATTCAGAGATCTCTACGCATGTATTTTAATTCCTTTTTCATGCCTATCATTCCTTCTAATACAACAGATAGAAGCCAGCAGAATGGTAAGCCTAACATCGCTAAGAGTTTATTCCTATTTAATTCAGTGAAATGAATTTTAAGAAACAAGCTGAAAGGGGCTGAGATGAATGTCCGCCTTCTGATTTTCTAACTGCTCTTTACACTGAGGGTGACGGTTCAGGCTCACATCTTTGGTCAGCGCTAAGAGCCTAATGCACTAGAAACCAGCTCCTCCTCTCGTGCCTGGCAGGAGACTCTCAGCAGCTTCTGCTCATGGTAACCATGCGGCCCAGGACGTGCAGCTGAGGGGGTTAGCCAAAGGGCCTCTGGGATGGCAGGCTGTCTACTCCCCCGCTACCTCTGCTCTGGGCATGCCAGGAGACCTGGCCAGCACAGAGACACTTCCAGTACGGGGCTTAATAAACAAGTGGCACCATAACAATTTCAGCCCCTGACATTTTGAAGTCACAAGTGGGCCACCCTACAAACTGTTTTCTGAAATATTGGAATCCTTTCACATTTCCAAATCCTTCCACAGAACCTAAGACTGTACAGTGTAAGTGAAAACAGACAGTGTTCTTGATGGTTAGGAGTGATCGCCATAAATTACCCACCAAAGGTTTAGTAATGTATCTAAATTTATACCTAAACTTATCAACAAGTAAAGATTACATATACCTTACCTTTGTCTGGGTCTTTCTTCCCGAGCTGCTTTCCCGAGTTCCCCGGTTATCCTAAGGCCTGCACACCTCAAGGGCCCTATAAAAAGAAACAAGTTCATTCTTAGAATTCAGCATAAATCATACATTACTCAGTCTATTAATAGGCCCTCCACAAAATGAAAAGTCAGTGTAAAATTCTTCAAATAACCTTCATATTTTAAATAAAAAATAAAATATGGGAAGGAAAATTCTGCTACAGGAGGCAGGCCTTAAGTTTAGGAAACACTTTACATGTGCAAACACCTCACTTTCCTCCCACAAACAAATTCCAGTTTTTATTTACTAATTGGATTTGAGATACTTTGAAATGGTTCATTGTCTATGCTCCAACTGTGTAAAGAGTAACTGCATTATGTGAGAATTAGTCAAAATACTAGCAGGCTTGGATGATCCAGCCATAGCTCCGGGAGGTTGCAGGTGCTTCTCAACACCCAGGAGAGAAAGCTGCAGCTTACAGCCAAGCAAGGCTTTGATTTCACAGCACTCTGACGAGGTAACTCGATGTCACTCCCACAAAAGCATTCTCCATTTACTGGCTAAGAAAATTAGACACCAATGTAAAGTAAAATGAAATTTTCAATAGCTGAATTCTTCAATGATAAAACTGAAAACATATTTGAATAATTTCATTTCACTGAACTTACAGGCTTTGTACCATTGGTTAGGTATTTGTCATATTTGCACAAATAATGAGTACATTTTACAATATAAAATGTTGCATTTGAAAAAAATACATAATTTGCTCAAAAAAAGTATACAATGGAGAGTGAGCAACGGATTATGGAGCTCATTACGCATTACTAACTTACTGAAATAAAGAATCAGCAAGATGATGCAGATCCTGAAGTAGTATTAGCTTCACAATTAATTTCAATCCCTTTTTAAATTTTGCTGTACAAGTTTGAGAAATAAACATTACTATACCAACTATGTTGAGAAACATAGAATCTACTTCTCAATTTAGCAACTCAGAAGACACTTATTTTACCCCTTAATATGTGATAGAATTTAAAAACCTCAGAGTTAATTTAACCAGCCAGATACTTTATTCCACCAAACACAACATTGACCCCTCCAGGGTCAGTATAACCGGTATCTCTTGTACACACGCACCACGACATGGTGAGATTGAGTCAAGAGAGCAGTTAGGTGGGAAGCAAGAACTTGGGGGAGGCCAGTAAGCGCCAGCCTCGGGACTGTGAGGACTCATCTGCGTGGACACACAAGTGACCATAATACAGGCAAACAAGCTAAAATCATGGCAGCAGAAAGAAAGTGACCAAAGTTGGTGGAAGTTGTGTGTCCTCGCCTAGCCTATGCTGGTCTCTGGGGGCCATTCCAGCCCTGTCACAACAACCACAATCACAACATCAACAGCTACAAGGACACGGAGTTGTGCAGAACTGCTGCCCTGAGAACATGGTCACAGGATTGGGAAGGGAAGCAAGGAGCCCACTTGGGAAGGGACACAGGGGGAATGAGCACATTGTCACAGCCTCAATCTCAGAGTCCTGAGTGAAGGGAGAAGAGAAATAGCCACCTCTTGAAAGGTGTTGTGAGAAGCAGAGACATCTGGCTTTGTTCTGAGAGAAGATAAGGTGGAATACACAAATGAGGCTGAAGATAAAGAGGATTTGGTGGTGTGCTCAGGAGAGGGAACTGAGAGTACTGGGGGGGGGAGGGAGAGAGACAGAGATAGTGATAGAGATAGAGATAGATAGATAGATAGAGAGAGACAGACAGACAGACAGACAGACAGACAGACACGGAGACAGAGACAGAATACCAGTGTCTCGATAGCCCTGGGTTTCCTTGGTGACCAACTTGAAATCAGAAAGTGACTTGATGAGTTAAGTCCTGAAGTCCCCATGGCAGACAGCTGTGAGTGTCTGTGGAGACAGGACGTGGTGTGGGCTCGCCAGGAATGCCTGGGGGTCTGAAGTGTTGGACGGATGCTGCTCTCTGGCCCAGCACATGATGCCTGAATTCCTGCTGGCTTCTGAGGTGGGCCTTTCTGGGTTAAGGGAAGAGCAGTCTTTCTCTCTTGGCCCTCAGTACCAGTGGCATGTGGAGAAGGAAACATGCCACATGTGGACTTCCTTATGATGGCATCATGCTAGAGAATGTGACAAGAAGAGATGGGTGTAGTCACCCCACAGGTGGTCAATCAGCAAAGTCCTCTCAAATTAGTGGCTTTTTATTTGTGGTCTGAACAAAGAATCCACATGGATCTCTGAACAAGCATGTTCTGGACCACAGGAGTAGTAAATACAAGTGATCTGAGAAAAGATCCTATCAGAAGATTCCAGAAACCACAGTGAGTGAGAAGAGTGATGAGAGGGAGACAGAAGGGACAAATGATAAGTGGCTGTAGGTAGGAACAGACCTCAAGTGATAGCAAAGTAAACTACTAAGGCTGGCGAGGGTCAGTAAGACAGACACAGTTTCCGGTTTTACAACAATGTGTTCATTAAATCGAAACATTGTAGGAAACACTTCTGTAGCTATCAATGAAGTAATTGAAATAGCTTACTCAGTACTATTTCAGTAATTTATATTTTCAATTGACTACAATAGAACCATAATCTTGGTAGAAAAACTCTTAAATACACAGAACATTGTTCAACTGAATAGTTATAACTTTAGTTAAAATGCATTTGCCTGAAGGAATAAAATTGTTCTTCTCTGGTAATGCAGAGTGTTTACTGGATAGATGAAGTTTTTCCTCTGTCTTTGGTAAAGCTATATGAGCCAAGCCAGCACCTGCAGATACAAAATAACAGATCCAACCTGACAGTTCTGTTTTTTCAATTCACACCATATAATTTTTCTACAAAAAATCTGTCAAAAGAGGTTCCATTAGTGTCAGGTAAAGATTCCTAACAAGTATACTTTTAACTTGTTCTAAAATGTTAGTAACAAGCGACTAAGTGGGCAACTCCTATTGCAGATGGAGAGCGCTTCGCTGTCTTATCAGCTCTTCTCTTTGATGCTGCTGTTCTCTCGGAAACCCCGAAAGAACGGTGACTGTGACAGATGAGTGTGTGCTGGTTCTTCAGGGTGTACGCAGGACAAATGGCACATTATGCCCTCTGCTAGACCTGCATTCATTAAGTCATGATTTACTAGGAGTCGACAGAATTCAAACGCACTTGAGTGTTTTCTTTAAAAACAACAGTGAATGTATTGGAAGGACTTAAAACTATCATCAATGTTGGTGGAAAGGGGATTGATTGATTGATTATATATTTGCTTGTTAAACGGTCTCACCACGCAGCTCCGACTCATCGTGATCCTCCACTTTCAGCCTCCCCAGCACTCACTGGGATTACCGGCGTGTGCCAGCGTGCCTGAACTCAGTCACCAGCTCAGCGTGCCCTGGGGGCGGGACTGGCACGGCACATGGTGCCAGGGATTGAACCGCGGTCCCTGAGCTTGCCTAAGCTTCCCTAACCAGGCGCTTATCTGCTGAGCTATCTTGCGGGCCCCTGCAAAAAGGATTTAAATTTTAAAATACTTTCCCCTCTTCTACTCTTCCACCTTCCCTCTATCGCCTATCTTTCATGATTTGATGGAAAATGTGATAATTTGGTCAACAAATTCAAAACTAAGTAAAATAAATTGAGGTTTACTTGAATCAAACAGACAGAATTGCAAATGATTTGATGATATTTGATAATTTTCTGTATCTCAACAACTTGCAGGCACACACGTACCCTGATCAGCAGGGTATTAACCGTGTGTGACTCTAAGTACCTTCCCCTATTTCACCTTCAGCATGTAATTCGTGTGTGTTGCTGATGTATTTGCTTATTGTTACATCTAAAATAATTACTAAACATTTCAAATTTTCAGTACACATTTTAAGTGAAAAATTAAACAGGATGAAATTATAGCCTCTGGGGGCCGGGGAGATGGCTCAGTGGAATAAGCGCTTCCCTGGCAAGTGCAGGGGCCTGAGTTCAATCCCCGGTTCTGCCGAAAAAAATAAAGAAATTATAACCTCTGGAATGTTAGGATTCCTATTTTCCTGCCATAGCCCAAGTGGATGGAACAGTACGAGATGAGACAGGCTGTAAAAAGACATTTTGGGTCTTATTTACTCCTTTAGCTTCTTGTTTTGAAATTTTGTATTATTGTTTTGGGTATATGTTTTTTCTCTTAAAAAAATCTGTGCCGAGATGATTCTTTTAAGTGACGTCTACTTGAGGGAGTGCTCTCAGGGCTCTCTTGCTGTCACTGGGGACTCAGACGTGAGCGTGCGGACAGCCACAGACCCTGAGGTGCAGGGCAGGGCCTGCAGCAGGCCTGGGCCTGGCTGCCCCAAGTCTGTGAGTGGAGACCAGAGAGCCCTGGTGAGCCCCAGGCCACGGGTCAGGTGGAGTGGACGTGCGCCCTGCCCATGCTGTGGACAGGCCACGGGTCAGGTGCAGTGGACGTGCGCCCTGCCCATGCCGCGGACAGGCCACGGGTCAGGTGGAGTGGACGTGCGCCCCGCCCATGCTGTGGACAGGCCACGGGTCAGGTGGAGTGGACGTGCGCCCCGCCCATGCTGTGGACAGGCCACGGGTCAGGTGGAGTGGATGTGCACCCTGCCCATGCTGTGGACAGGCCACGGGTCAGGTGGAGTGGACGTGCACCCCGCCCATGCTGTGGACAGGCCACGGGTCAGGTGGAGTGGACATGTGCCCTGCCCATGCTGTGGACAGGCCACGGGTCAGGTGGAGTGGACGTGTGCCCTGCCCATGCTGTGGACAGGCCACGGGTCAGGTGGAGTGGACGTGCACCCTGCCCCTGCTGCGGAGTGCAGCCGGGCACACAGACTCTCCCAGGTCCCAGAAAGTTAAGCTGCAAAAAATTTGACACTTCTACAAGAGAAGAAAAGGTATGCAAATCAGTAATTAATAAATATTTAGCTAAATGTGTGCAATTAGCAATTGTGTGTTGCCAAATAGGAAACATTTTGATGTTAAATTTTGTCCTTTTGCAAGTAACTAAGTATTTATAATGAGTGTTGAAGACAATCACAGAAAACAC